ACCGAGGAAGGCTGCGTGGAAGTGGGGGACGGAACAAATCAGAGGGAGGCAGTGGAATCTGGGGTGGCAGGGGAGGACGTCCTGGAACAGGACACAGGCGAGTCGACTGCTCTGAAGACACTGAACGACTTGAAATGTATCGTGACTCTTGGAATGCAGACGGCGCCATATCTTCCTTCTGAGCACAGTGCCTCTCTGGTTGCTTTGTTGTTCACGGTCTGTACACAGGAGTTGGTTTTGTATGGTGTTTATTCAACTCCAGAAGTAGAATTGGAGCGGCAGAGGATACTGCATTTCGTTTTGCAGGAAGGACAACGGGCTTTGGCATATCTAGAATCTGGCAACGAAGGCTTGAATGCTGGACGGAGACTGGGAAACACAATTAAGCTCTTGGAAGAATTTAGAACTCCCCAACAGGAGCCGATCCCTAAAGACCTGGCTGTGGAAGCAAACATCTCCGCGTATAGAATTTTTCATTGTAAAAGTGCTCTAGAAAAGCTTCAACCGTGGGTGCATAACAAACTTCCTATTCCCGAAGAAGTCAGCGAGCGCGCTGTCAAAGTTGTATCCTATACACGACAATCGTGCAAAGTAAGAATCAAACGCGATGTGGTTTTGGCTGAATGGGTGCATGCAGTGCAAGCAAAGGTTGACTTTTTTGGGCTTACCGAAGGGCGTAGCCCGCAGAAAAGGCCTAAGGGTCGTATGCCACCCGCAGAACTTATGCCCATTCTCGAGGAACGTTACAGCCGCCTGGGAAGAGGGCTTGCCAAAAGCGTCAACAGGGCTACGGGAAATCATACGTTTAAGCATCGCCACCAGGAACTTGGCAAGCAGAGTGAGCAGCAGCATCACAAGGACAGCAACGCTGTTGCCGAAACTCTTGAGCAACTGGCAACTGTGGGGGCTGACGTAGGGCCAAGCATTTCTCATCCCCCCATGCCCCTCCCTGCCCCTTGGCAGCTGTCCTTGTCTACACAAATATCATCTTTGCAGAACCATCCCGTGCTACTACCAATACACCCTTCTCCTACGGAATCGCACTATAATACCCCAATTACTCATACTGAGCGCTGGGGTCGATCCCCTGCCTACTCCAGTACGTGGAGGCACGAATCGCAGCAAGCTACAAATTCCCGAGAGCTGTCCACGTTCGATTCCCTTACATCAGGTTCTGTTCTTCAAACGGAAGCACCAGCGTTCACACCATTAAAATATCCCCTTCAAGCGGAAATGCAGCATCACATACAGCCTGATGCCGGGTCTACTTGGCCGTACATTCCACCATCCCCCGCTGCTCTCCCTTGGCGAGCAGTTGATCCTTCAGCAGATTTCCCTCGCCCTCTTCCCCTGCCGGGTCCGACACCTACGCCTAGACAGAGACAGAGTGCATATATCAGAACGATATTCCCACTAACAGCGACTTCAACTGGAAGTCCTACCCCTCGGAATCCTCTTCCAACGCCCCAATTCCCATCGCCTAGACCTTCCGCTGAACCCCCGAGACTTCCTCAACCCACTGAAGGACCGTCTCTTCGTTTTTCCAGACCCATCCTTCATAGTCCCCCTTCAGACGTTCCACGGCACGGCCCTGAACCTTCCGCTCTATTTTCTGGAAGTCGGCAAACTACACCTAGGTGGCGCTTTGAACCTCCTAGAGCCTTTTGGCCACCTACAGGTGGGGGCGCCCAAGGAGATGTTCATTCGCCCTCTCCGCACAGTCTAGTGGACCTCAACCCCGTCATGACTCTGGTTGCTGAAGCATTTCCATCAGCGCAGTCCGATTCAGATTCGCCTACGGGATCTGGGCAAAGACAACACCTGGATCAAGGATGGCCACACGTCCCTGGTTCTGACCGTCCCTGACGGCAGCTCGGAGATATTTGTGGTAGGTGGGACCAATACAACTATACCTGTACAGAGCCAATGAGCACCGACAACCTCTGAGGCGGCACCGAAGACCCATGAGGGTGCTGCATCGAGTCTTTGTGGAAGACAGCAGAGGCGGCAGTTGGCACTAATGACTGTTCCAAGCGTCCTTGAGCATATCTGTAGCTTCGTCAAGCCTTGCTGGAGACTGTCACAGGCCGCCAACCCTGCAGCTTGCAGAGCGGCTTCAGGAGACGTTCCGACTTCATCTGAAAAGAAAAAACGTTGCCAAGCCAGCAGGTGATTTTATTTATTTATGATTGTTATGGCTTCTCCCAAATGAAGTGAGCTCTACGTATTACCTCTAAAACTTAGCGGAAGAAGTTTCCACCAGCTGAGGTGTTACTTGAAGACCCACACATTTGGACTTGACCTCCTTCCGGCATATGCACAGGAGCGGGCAACGTGCGAGTGAGGTTTTATTTTTTTATCTGACTTCTTCGGTGAAACTATGGAACGCACATGCTGCCTCCAAGGGTTAGTGTATTTGCAAACATCTGTGCACTTACAACCGCACCCCCCCGCATGGCTCAACATCTAGATGTGAAATCACGTAG